TGATCCTCGTAGCCTGTACATGATAAGCATGTCAGAGCTTGCATGCACGCTGGCGCGTGACAAGCACGCCCGCTCGCGTCAAAGCTGGCGCATGATAAGCACATTGGCTCACCCGCGTCACGTCAGAGGTGCACCGGCCGTTGGCACATGATGAGCACACCCGATCATCAGAGCTGCACCCACGCTGGGCTGGCACATCATAAGCACACCTGCTTACGCGCGTCACGTCAGAGCTCGCTAACTGCCATGTGAGCCATGTGTGCTGACTTTGTCCAAAACTGCACAGGCCTGAGGTAGTTTCCGGGATGTCCCACAACCCCAGAAACATGCGTAATTGCCAGCCTGCCTGTAGTTAGGGAATGTGGTTGAACGAGCCGTGTTGGGTTATCCCCGAATAAAGGACACCACCGCTTTTCTAGCAGCACCACCAACTATATGCTGCGAAAACTAGCTCAGTGGCAAGCGCGAAGTTTGGTTCTCCAAGTTTCGCGGGAAGTGAGGTTTGGAATCGACTTGCTGATTCCAATGATCCACTTGAAGCAACTCGATCTTTACAGAAACTTCTGTGCAAGATCTGCTTACGCAACATTTCTTGAACCTTTATGTCTGAAGTCTTTTGCAGGATCTTGACAGGAATTTGTTGCAGGACCCCTTTGAGGATCCTGCAAAACAAGCTTTCAACCAAGGTTGAAACATACTTCTTGCTTATGATGCATGTATAGACTTCTCCCTTGGGCTTTTCTCCCGGCAAGATCTCGTCCCCTCTTCCACCCTAAGATCTTTGCCCCCCTTCCCCCCCTCCCTCTAAGATCTTCCCCCCTACCCATGTCTGCAACAGGTGATTTAAGCCGTAGACCCATGCAGTTGACTCTTTGGCGGTGGTTTCACTGCTCAGTGGGTTTCGGATGTGGTTTATCATCTGGTCCAGCCAGCGTGGGCCGATTAGCATTGACTGGGGTCTGGGCAGTTGGACTGCGGCCGATGAATCTGCTACTGGCTCCAGCAAAGCTGGTTTGACCCGCAAGGCTTGCGCAGGATTCCCAGACACTCCAATGTTGGTGCTATTTGCCAACATTCGCGAGCGTTGCCCTGAGAAGGCACATTAGGCTTTATTAAGGCCAATGTTGCTCTGAGAGGCATACGTCATGCGTCAAAATGTTGGTACAACTCTCAAGCGAGCAACTCACGCTAAATCACGGCAAATCAAGGTAACACATGAATGTATCCTATCCCAACTTTGGCATACGCTTCGCGAATTTCCGCCATTTCGACGCGTACTTCCGCTATTTCGACGCGTATTTCCACCATTGTTTTGGAATCCAAATTTCGTGAGCATGCACTGGTACATTTGCAGGCATGCTTTGGTTGATTTGTTTTTGATTTTTGCTCTAAACTTAGGAAGGAAATGTCAAGTTGCTAGACGAAGGAGTTCGGACTTGGAATTTAACTGAAAACATCAAGCTTGACATGGCAAATAAGGTCCAATATTGGGCACAATCATGCCAAAATTGAACAGGAAGGCCTTGCCTGCATTCATACGTGCAGTTGCTCACTAAAATGCTTGGTGTTTTCTCGCTGGGCAAACGTGCGTGCGTGTATTGCATCGTGACCGAGCTTGCATGATTCTTCTTCTTCTGCCGGGGAAGGCAGATAGCATGAGCCATTGTGATGCTAAATGGCTCCATATATAGGAGCTCGTCCGTCATCGTTGCAATGACTCACGCAAGTGGAAACACAGCACTGCGCAGGGCAAGATCATGCGTCTGTGCCCGTTCCATGCGACATGCCCAATAAGATGCTTTGGCCCAGCACGAAGCTGATGCCCTCCCTCGATTGAACTGCTGGCGCCTGCCCTGTATGGCAGAGCCAGATACTCAAGTTCTTCAGGCTTGCGCCTTAAGTCCCAAGCGAAGACCCAAAGCAGCCGAGTGTGTCCACCTCTGCATGAGCCCCAACTTCTCGCTGGCACGTCGCGACGAGTTGAAAACCAAACATTATTCAGGCGTTCGTTCCCCATGCGACGCATGCCCAAGTATAAGTATTACTGTATAACCCGGAATCTGTCGCTGAAACACTGTCTGACACTGCCTGAATATTGCTGCGCACTGCCTTCCAAGGCAAGAAAATGTAATTGTTACAGAAAATGGTGAGCTCCGCAAAAAAGCGTTAATTTTTGAAATGAAGTTTTTTCTTAGCACTTTGGGTTCTGCATGGGAGAAGCTGGGCGCTTGCTTGAGTGGAAGAATTCCCACACGGGGATTACCTGTCTGCACCAGCGCTCACTTTCGCAATTTCGCAAAGTCTAGGCCGCGAAATATTGACTTCGGCTCTGGAATGTGGTGGAGTTTCTGACCGGCGAGACTTGTAGACCGAACACCTCGTTCTCCACGACGTGATCCCAACTCAATGGATGCCGCCTGACTTGCGGTCGCTTCCAGGTCACCCTTGGCGCAACTATTCCGCTGGGTCCAGTGTTGATACAAGTGTGGTCCCTTCGGACCTTGCCCCGGCATAAGGTTCCCCAAAGCAAAGAAACTAAGACGCAACGATGGCAATCTAGCCTCTGCGTCAGCACGCAGGCTAGCCCCATTATGCATGTGCTGGCCAGGGTTTGTTTTTTCCGCATTGGTCCCCAAGCTGCATGTGATAAGTCTGGCAAATCTACGCCGCAGATTGCTTTTGGAGATGTGAACTGCAGCGTCCCAGCAGACAGTGTTGTTTGGCAAGTTCACTGGGACATTGGTCCGCTTTGATAACAACGCTAAGGCGTAAGTCCGGGCGAAAATCCGCGCGCAAGTGTTGCACTCGTGTTCCGTAGTCAAGAGCAAGCGACCCAATAAATGCCGGCCCTAAGGGCATCCCAGCCTCGTTGCAGAGATGCTGGCAGAATGCCAGAGGCAGTGAGCAGTGCCTGAAGCAATTCGCACACGTTGCAACGTCGCAGAGCCTTTCCTTCAATCTTGCCTGAGTGGGTGTTAGACGAACGGTGGACGTTGCACGTGCGCGTGCCACCTGCAGTATATCAAGCGCATCTTGTTCGGCGCCTCCGCGTGCTGGAAGCGCCTGGGTGTGTTGCCAGGCGCGCTCAGTGGGCAAGAGCAGAGTCCTTGAATGTAATGGATCTCTTGACAAAAAGCAGACGCTGGCAGAGTGTTGCCGGTAGCATCCCAGACGCATTGATTGGTATCTACCATCAGCTCTGCCCCAGCGGCAGCCTCCTTGACGCATCGCGGAGTGCAAAGCACGGGCAGCGTCGCACACGCTCTGCTGACCTCGAACACGCGAGGGGCTGGTAGACCGTCGACGCACTTGTTTTAGCTTGCATTTGGCAAAGTCACTGCAGTGCTGCGGTCCTGCGCAGCGGCGTGGCAGCTTCAGAGAAACAGCGCGCGCGGCGGCTGGGTACACAAGACTCATAAGCCCCTGCCCCCCTGTGTTGCTTTTGCTTCGCAATTGACCCTGCACCACACGCATGCTATTTGGCTCAAGGCCCTATCTTGTAGTACCGTTGCATCCTGCAGCCAACACAAAAGGACCGAGCAGAGCGCCTTGCAGGTATCCATTGCACAACTAGGGACTTCCATTCTCAGTTCTTCCACTATTGACATATTGGACTCTCTTGCAGAATAGGTCCAGGGACCTGCCAATACGTTCTCTACTACCACAAGGTACCAGCTCCCTTCGGGGATACGGTACCCCTGGCAGTGGGTCTCAATTGTGGTAGCGGAGCGGGTTTTCCGCAGAGACCCAAACACACTGTCATCCGATGGAGAAGGCTTCGTGGAAGCCTATTCAAGTGTTGGCCGTTCAACCGGCTACACTGAAGAGACGCTCAACTTATTGATGACCGCCAAGCAGCCGCCATCGTACGACGGAAGAGTCAGCTGGTTTCGATATGAAGAACTTGTAGATGATTGGGTGACCTTCACAACATTGAAGCATCCAAGAGAGGACCACTTCTCAAGAGTCGCCTCACCGGAGACGCTCATATGTACAAGGCCGTCCTCCAGAACGACCTCGTGCAAGATCCTGACGAAGGAGTCAACTATTTCAAGAACACGCTGAAGAAGTTCTTCCTGAAAGGGTCAACCAGCGTGTACTTATACAGACTCCTCAGTTTCTTCAATCATAGGAGGCAGAACACCGAGTTCCTCATATTTACATCAAAATTTAGATCCTCTTGGTGAGATTGAATGCAGCCTGGATGGACCTGATGCTAGTTCATACGGCACAGTCACCAGAGTTCATAGCTTCAGTCCAAGAGGCCAATGTAAGAAGAATTGCCGCGCACCAGCAAGCCGCTGGCGCACGACCACCGCCTCCAGATCTGCTGCAGACAGACAATCCAGAAGTACTGAGGTAGTACCTTACAGGCATGCAGACAAGGCACCGAGACGCATTCCCCCTCAGCGACAACCTCATTGCACATTTTTTGCATAATCCAAAGTGAATTGTCAGATCAGCAAAGAGAAAGACTGTCCTTGAGAAACATCTCGCTTGAGAATTACACGTATGAGATGATGAAAACGCAGTACCACGACCTCTTCATCACGACAAGGAGTGAAATATGAATTGTGCACATCTGAGTATGATTTTTCAATCAGTTGGATGAAGAGGAGACAGCAACTGCGACTGAAGGAGGCAAACGATAAACTTTGTGCTGGCAGTGTTGGTGAGCAAACTCCACTACAGCTTTGTCGGCCAGCAGCTGGTGCCGATCGGCGCGGGTTTTGTCCATTCACAATCATCAACCCTGGTACCCACTGAAGGGGAACCAGCGCGGCAAAGTGTAAAGCCGCTTCGTGAGGTAAGTTGTGAAACCTGGACTTAGGTCCTCCAAGTCGGGAGTGAACGTAAGTAAGGGAACCAGCTGAAACCCTTTGATTTACTGTAAATCACAATGATTTTGTTGTGCTTTACCGCAAAATACCATGGTTTTGTGGTGGTTGGTTTATGGTTGGCTTATGCAAAATGCCTGGGGGCATCAACCGCTACTGGAGGCTTTATGGACGCCATCTCGCCCCTGCTCTGCGCGACGGAGCCCACGCAGGACGCTGTCCCTTCCGGGTGATTGGCGGGGAGATTTGAAGCCGCTGGTTCTGGTCGAGGGCAAATGGGAAACTCCTCCTCAGCCATAGCAAGCCATCCCATTCACCAAATAGCGGGAAGCTAGCCTCCCATCCACCAGCATGAAACCTGACTGATCCTGGAAGACTGTGTTCCTTTTACAGGGACCCTCTGGTGAGGTCCAGGTGGACCGGAGAGTATTCCAAAACACGAGGAACAAATATGTAAGACTCGAGTGTAGCAACTTGAGCCCATCAGCGCTGTCCACAATAAAACTGAGCGACCACTTCCAGAGGCCGTGCTTCCATGGCAAGTTCTTGCAATTTACATCATGCACCCCACCCGAAATGGCTGGCCATAGGGGAATTTGGTGAGAACATGTTTTCTAAGACTTGCTGGTTCTCAGGCTGGACGGCTCGTTCCCAATCCCCAGTTGGTTCCTTGACGACCAAGGTGATCCAGGCCATTTCAATAGGTGAGACTACCTGTTTTATTCGCTGCCTGCGTTCTTGGACTTTAGTGTCGTTTTGGTGTGGACCATCTTAGTGGATGAAAAGTTCGGATTTGTCAAACCACTCAGGACGTGAGAGTTTCACAGGGATTATGACTCATCTGATGGGTAAGGGGCTATGCCCCTTTTAGCACTAGGTCTCCCAGTAGTGCCCTTTTACCTTCTTCTTTTTTTGGGGGGGGTTCCCCTACTAAAATAGACTACAGAAAAGAATCGGGTACCCTTACTCTATCCTCTCTACTAGAGGACCTAGCAAATCATGACCTGAATTTGGTTTTCCAGCTTTTTGCTGGATGGTTCTTTGCACGAAAGACTCGAACGGGCTGCTGGGCAACCTTCCCATGGCTTTCGGAACCAGGGTGAATTCAAAGCAAGCGATGCTTCTCCAAACGGAACACCTGGTTGATTGGAGGGGGTTTTCTAGGGGTTGATTCCTTCCAACCATTCTTTTCAACCATCGTTCTTTCCAACCGGCTCCGTTTTCCCTGGGTTTCCGGAGGTCTTGCAGAAAGAAGGATCCGTAGAAAGAATGGTTGGAAGGTACCTCTAGAGTTTGGGCTTCGTGCCCTGGAAGGGTGACCCATTAGCCATCATTAGCCCCATTCTGGGGCTGTGGAATTTGAGGGTGTCTGCCTCTTGCCAGGTAGGGAATTCTGGGCCTTTTCCCTATTTGTCCCGTCGCGATGTATTTTCACACCCAGAGGCTCCCGGGGCTTTGAATTGCTTGAAGGCCCTAAATCAATCGGGGGCCTCTGGGCACGTCGGACTGGCCAAAGAGCCCCACAGAAGGGCCCAAGCGCGGTTTTTCCGTGATCAGTGCCTGAGTTCCTGATACAATGTTAGTGACTTAGACCAACAGGTGACGGGGGCGCTCTTGAATTTGCCTCCTAGCACGGCCACCTCGGCCTTGGAACTTGGAAATGGAAAAAATGGCTTAGACCAACAGGTTGGTTACTCGCCAAATTTGTTCAGGAAGTGAGGCCTACTTGCTGCACCTCTTGGCATATGCGAAGTCTTTCACTCAGAGGCTCCTGGGGCTTTCACGCGAACATTAGACACCCCACTGTTTGGGGGTCTCAAAACCTGGCCGTCTGACTGGCCCCATTTTGCCGAAGTGGGTTCCAGGGAAACAGGCCGATTTTCTTACTTTGTCTCCCGAAACAGTCTAAAACAATGACCCCTGTTTGCAACAGGGCCCAAAGGAGCCTCTGGGAATTGAAAAAGCTGAAGACTGCCCAGGAGAGCGTAAGGAGAGCCTGGCGGCTGCTGGATGAGAACCGCAAGGGCCACATCGACATCGAGGAGCGTAACAGCTTTCGGACCCGAATTGAGCCCCTTTGTGATCCGAAAAACTTCCCTTTGGGGGTTCTCAAACCATGCTGTCTACTTCAAAAAGTTGATTAAGATGTCGGATTGTTTTTTTGTTGTTTTTTAAAAGGGAATCTGTCGCTTCTGGGTAAAGCAAAACGGGGGCTGAAGCAAATGGAGGCCACATATGTTGAAACTCCGGCAAATTTGCACTGTCCAAATCCCAGAACGTATTTAGATTCCCCCACCCCGGCCCGGACTTGCACATTCCAGCTCAGCGAATCCGGGAATACAGGAAGAGTATTGTGATTGAGCCGGAAGTTTCCAACTCGATCGAGGCCCTCCATACGACCTTGGGCGGGGTGACAAGAAGCGGCCCTAAAGCACCCAGTGCCTCATGTTCCTTGTTTTTCTTGCGCGTATGCCTTTGAGGTCAACCACCAAAAACGAGTGCCAGCCTTGTTTTCGACTGGTGGGGGTCTGGTTCCGCTCGGTCACGCTCGTATTTTGTGCGTGTCACGAGATCCATACGTGGGTCGGGTTCTCAAAGTTCTTTCCGTAGTTCCCACCCCGGGAAAACGGGGCAGATGCCCAGCGGAAGTGGCTATCGTGTTCCTCCTTTTTCAGCTTGGTTTGGTAAACAATAGCTGGCCCTAGTTGTTCTGGTTGATTTCTGTGGCTAGGTTTCTCCACTTCGTGCTTTGGCCCATGCAGCCGCAAAGGCTTTGCGGCTCTGGTTTCTTACGTACTTCTCGGCCAACACCTCTTGCCACTGCGGTCAAAAAAGTGACTGAACACCTGCAAGAGGAACCAAGTTGTCCGTTGTTTGAGTTGTTTTTTCATTTTTTTGGAGTCAGTGTTTGGCAGAGTCGGTTTGGTGGGTAAATGTAGCAGGAACCTAGGAAAAAATGCACCAAATGCAGAGGAGATCTAGGCCGGCCCAGGCTGACAGGCAGTGTCCGGGCGCGTGGTCCGTCAAAATGCCCAGCATACTGTTGAAATTTCCCAGCCGCAAAAAGCGGGGTAGTGATGCATGGTGATGCACTTGTCCATGTTTGGATCTTCCGGGTTTCTTCATGTCTTCCTTTTCTTTTTCTTTTTTCGGGGTGTTTCCCATTTTGCCGTGTTGCTTCCTCATACTTTCTCAGGTTTGGGTTATTCAAACCAGGGAGCCTGAGCGAGGCTTATCTTGGGAAAGTGAATAATGCTACATGTTCTCCTGAGAATGCAACATGTCAGCGTAGTTCAGGGAATACAGACATTCTGCCTTTGTTCTCCCAGCGGTGCTCGTCTCGGTTCGATCGGTTCGGTTCGGTTAGGACCTGACCCGTGCCGTGCGCGGCTTCGGCCTGGAGCTCTCGGTGGAAGAGCTCCGCGACATGGCGCGGGACCTCAGCTGCCCTTTTACCGTTTCTTGTTTGGGAGGGTTGGTGGTAAATGTCTTTTTGTGGAATGGGAAACCAGCCAGTACCACCAAACCACCCAGGAGTGCAAGAGGGATTGCATGAACGGCTTGAAGTGTATTGCAAACATGAGTTGCACGGGTTGCACGGGTTAGCATATTTTGAAGGGAAACTAAAGGGAATTGCCGACACACTGTGCTTGAGCAAAACTGTTTGAACAACCTTGCGGCAAGGACTCAGCTTCCCTCAGACTAGTGAAGGTGTTCCGGTAGTTTCCCAGGTGCTTACAACAGCAATGGGTTCAAATCCCAAATCCCTCTTTTCGAGGGGGAAGCGGAAAGACCGGGATCGATCTAAGCAGATTTCCCCCTCATAGCTTGAGGCATACCTCTCTGAACGGCGCCTCTTGTTGTAGCACTCGTCTCGTTGGGTCCACACGACCCACTCAGTCGATGGAATGGAGCGGAGGGGAGTCGGAGATTCGAATGGGCGCCGCGCCTGCAAAACGGACACCGCCGGCCTGGAAGGGAGTTTCAAGCTCCAGTTGTCCTCTGGACAGACTCGTTTTCCTAGCTCCGGGGGCGGGGGCCATGCTCAGTTGTTCAAAGCGAATCAACCTGAGATGACCTTTCGGTTTCGGGTTTCCCGCTTTTGGGGGCCCATGTTCGTTGGGCATGGCAACCCAGAAAACTTGGTGGCTCCCGCTTTCTAGTGTTTAGTGGTAGCTTTCATTTAACCCACTAAAAGTTAAACTCTTAGCGGGGGATAGGGCCCAACAGTGATCACCTTTCTGGGTCCCCTTTGGCATTCTGAGCATCCCCGAGTGAGAAAAATTGACTGGCTGAGGTCAGCTACTGCGACAGGAACGGCAGCGGCGAGGTGCGGGATTCCGGGATGCCTGGGATGTCGTGGGCATAATTCTTAAATGGTATAAGGGTCCAACGATTGTTTTGGGCCCACTGGTTGCTTTCAAGGGCCCCTGAGGGGTCGGGGTTCTTCATGGGAGCATTTGAGGGGTCATGGTTGCTTGGACCAGTCTAGTGGCCAAGTGTGGACTTGTTTTTTGGGCAGTTCACTCAGGACGAAGGTTGACCTTCAAAACCAAAATGGAGCTGTCCGAATCAACAGAACCAGCGTTGGATCTTGCTGTTGGCCGGGAAGTGGGTTTGCTTTTGGCCACAAATCCCCGCTGGCCTTTGGTTCGCCCTTAAGAGGTTGGCTTTGTTGCCGCCCAAGAAGGTCCCCGGAAAGCTTCTTGGGGCGGTAAGTTTTTTGGGTTCGTACACTCCGCATTGGACATGTTTGCAGTTTTGGTGTTGAGCAAGTTAATTTTCAGATTTAGCTGCTCAGTCTTAGCTCATGTTGCAGTTGGTAATGAGGGGAAGATGTTTCTCCATGTGGGTTCAATGGGTTCACAATACGCAGGCCGTCTTGCTGGTTTCACGGACCTGGTGCTGATTTGGATGGCGGTTTGTCAACCAGAATGCACACATCAGATGCATTTGCTTCATCCATTCCAGCTAATGCAGCTGGCGCAATTTGTCAAGCCACAGAACCAACCGCACCCTCGGCGGGTCCGGACCGGCCATGAAAGCACCTAAAAAAATAAAGCAAAGAACTTACCCGCATTGGTTTCTCCAATTCTTTGGCAAGTGGTTTGGCAACCAATACAGGCAAGGTCTGTATCATTCATTCTCATGTGGCCATCGCATCCTTCAGATCACCTTCGACGAGTTCTATCAGATGCTATCCCGCCACTGACGGGCTCGAATCGGGCGAAAAAGGTGTGCGCTGTAGCCGCGTCCTGGAGTCAACCTGGCGCACTAGGGCGGTGTTTCCCTACAAGTCAGCCCGGGATTTATTAATCAGGGCTTCCTGTACCATGGTTGCCGTTGGGAAACATTTTACATTTTGGCTTGTTGTGGTTTAGTGGGAAATCCCCACAAGTTTGAAAATGTTCGCTCCATTTTGCTCCCCCTCCAACGTCAATCAAATTACGATGCATGACGAGTGTTTACTAAGGGTCGTGCTGCCAACTGATGACAACGTTGTTCTTGTCGCTTTGAGCTTGCAGGTGATGCTTTATTTCACCTCTAGTGGCACCCAAATAAGCAAACACTCTCTGAAACCAAGGTGGAACCACACAATGGCTATGATTCAATGATGTTTAACAGGGAGTCTGAATCGCCTCAAAAATAGCTGGTGGACATCATTTAGCCCAACGGATTTCAATTTGCAACGTCCTAAAACGTGATCCGGAACTTGTTTTTCTCTCCACACCAAACCAGGCGCCGAAATCAAGCTCAACTTTGTTAGCTAAGGTGTTTAATCACTGGCTTTCCATTGGCGCACACTTTGCCTTGGGTTTTCTCAAGGCAGCGCATGGGTGGATGAGCTTCTCAGTCTCAGTTTGTGCGACCCCATTTGCCCAGTCTCCCCGGAGGCTGAGCTGTAAGGTCTGGAATTGCCTTGGGCAATTCTTACTTAGCTGCGTGCGGGAATCTTGGACCTGTAGCTTCGTGGGGACGTGTGGCGTTTTAATTTTAAACAGCACAAACTTGAAACTTCTCAGGATTCTGGATTGCGAATGGCCGATCTGCCCATGTTTCAAGATCTCGAAATGTCGTCAACCTCAAGAACAGCTGCTTCCGTTTTCTGCCACTTTTGCTGGGCAACTAGGCTAGTCGTTCTTTCTGATTGGCAAGGGGCAGAATGCTAACTGATCTTTGCAGTGCCCAAAGCACACAAACTCAAACACATGCCAAGTGACAGATTTTGAGGGGAACCTTCGCAGAAGGGCTTTTTCCGGAACAACCAGTCCAGAGTTTCCGGAAGTCACAAGACCCAAGAGAGGTTCTCAAGTGGCTGTGGGTCAAAACCAATGGGGCCATTTTGGGGCCAGGTGCACCACCCATTTTAGTCTGTTTTAGGTGGGATTGGGACGTTCAGTGGTACGATTTGGATTTTGAGCCATGGCCAAGTGCTGAGACCTGGTGTCCTTCGAGCCTCAGCTCGGACATTAGGATGTCACATCCCTCCTCAGAAGATGGGGAGGTTTGCTTGAGATGGGCGTGTGAGGCAGGGAGCAAGGACAAGGCGCTCAAGCCCAATTGAGTCCCGCAGCTTCAAAGAGCAAAGAAGCACGAGCCAAGCAAACCCAAGTTGGTGGGTTTGGAGTTTAGGATTTGGAACTGAATCCGTGGTTCTTGCAGTAGATGTAAAATGGGAAACCACCCCTTAGCTTGACTGCTATTGGATCTTTAGACAATAATACTTTTTGGTTGAAATCCAGGTGGGTGTTCCACTAAAGTTGCAGCACCCAAGTTAGCCACCACCAGCCCGGGCTCCGCCATCGCCGCGGCGTAGCGCTTCGCGGCGTCGATGGCTCCGAATCCCAGCGCCAGCTTCGAGACCAGCGAAGGCCGTCGAGCTCTGGGACTCGGACTTGGTCGTCTGCGGGCTGTTCCGCCGGCTGTTTTGGACACAGCTTCGCCCTTTGAGTTGTTGAATCATCAGTTTTGTTTTGGGACGGTTTGTGTTAGTGAACACAAAAGTTGAGTTTGTTACTTTTTTTTCCGGGCCTTTCTGTCTCGAGAAGTGAGACAAAGATGGTCATCCAACCTGGTAGGATCCTAAATAGCCACTGGATTTCTTTCAAGGAAGTCTCAGCATAGGCCTTAGGAATTTTGACCATGGCACATACGTTTTTTTTCCCACCCAGTGCTTCCAGTTACCTCTACAGTTTGTACATAGATTCCATCACGTAAGGATACCTGGTTTCCTACGACAGTGGTAACTGGAACGAATCCTTGTGGGCTGCAGGGGATGGCTGAACCAACATGGAGGAATTGTGCAACCTAGGGTCACCCAACCTGTAGCTTACCTTTTTCTTGGGGATCCTTACTCCCAGCTTTGGATTCATTTAAACCATTCAACCAGCTGTTCAATCAACCTCCATTTGCTTAAGACTAGCTTCCACCTGGTGTTCACGGGCATCTATCAGTACTGGAAAGTTTGTTTTGTTCCACACATTTCCTTGATATCATTTTCATTATTATTGTCATTCCGATTTTGGTCATCACTGTTATCATTATGAAAATCATTACCATTACCATTATCATTATCATTACCATTATCATTACCATTATCATTATCATTATTGTTATTATGATGATTTGCTCGGGGCAAATTGAGGCTGGGGTTCCCGAGCGGATGGCTTTCAAGCTTTGCGGCTCGGCAGGCACCTTCGTGGCCGAGATCTTTCTGGACAGGGCGCCTTTGATCCGATCCATGATCCGGAGCCCTCGGGTGGGGGGGTGGGGGGGGAGGGGGGGCGGGTGGAGAAGGGAGGGTTCAAACATCGACAAAAACAGGTGTCTTGTCGAGGTTGGTTATGTTCTTGCCGTGGTTGGCAAACATGTTTCCTTGTCGTGGTTGCAACCCCTCCTCCGGGAAGAAGCCTTCCAGATGCCTGGGCAGGCTCTCCAGCCCACGATGAAAATCAGAAGGTCTCCTTTTGGGAGGGACGTGGACTTCCAGGACGCCCTGATCAAATTCCAGGTTTCGGGATGGGAGGGTAAATCCCCACCCAAATGATGTCTACCAAAGGGTCTACTAAGTAGAACTCAGGCCGCCCCTCTAGTCATTGGTTTTCAGTTTCTGGTTGCTGGTATTGAGTAACTTGATTACGAGCTAGTCATCAGGTAGCCCTCAGTTGGTGATTTGATTCCCGAGCTTTTGTAGGCGATTTGGCTCGAAACCATTACTTGGTGGCTCCCAGCCATCCGGTTCCTTAGCTTCTCAGCTTTTTAGTGTTTAGTGGGGTTTTCCGTTTAGCCCACTAAAACTGCTGAGGACAGCTCAGATTAGATGGAAGCTGAACTCAGGGGGTGCTCCGTGGCCTTTCGGATCCCGAGGTGCCTGTGACCGCCTCGAACTTCATCGTGCCTCGGTAAAAACAAAAAACACGAAGGGCCCAGGGGCGGTACCTTCGCAGGTTTGTTTTGTTGCAAGAAAGGGAGGCCATGGGTTTCACAGGGAAACACATTTGTTGCTTAGGAATATGTCACATAGCTCCCCCCTGTTGGTTTTGAAGCTGTTTCAAGAAACTCCGCACTTGAGCAGAGGTTTGAACAACCGACGTTTTGGGTGTTCACAACCCGAAAAGAAATCTGATCTGTGTTTGCTTTTGAAGATCCCTTTGAAGGGTCGCACGATCCAGTTTGCTTGTTTTGTTTTAAACATTTCCTCAGCCCAGCTAGAGGGTTCCCTTTTGGGTCAGTTCGGCGTGTCTTTTCTTGGGCTGGGACCCTTCTCAAGCACCAGCCAGTGACATGTATTAATGGAATCCTCCCCAAGAATTGTGCGGGGGGGGGGGGGGACAAGGCTCCCGAAGGAACCGCAAGAGTGAAACACATGACTCCATCATGATATGATGTACCTAAAAGTAAAAGGTTTAAGCTTCAATTCGATTCCACCACCGTGCTTCATCTTGAACTTCAGCACTTGGACTTGTCGCCCACTTGAAGCACATGGTGTCATCTTGTTCTTTGGCTTTTTAATGCTTTGAAAGACTGATCTTGAACCCCAGCTATGTTTCCTGGCTTCATCATGCCCGTTCTCCTCTTGAGCCTTGGCTTTGTCCCTGGGCCTCGGCATTTCTGGTCGCTTTCGAGAAGACGAGAAGACGAGGTCTCGCTTTGTCCGGACGAAGCGCGTTTCTGCGCGTCAGGACCTGGCGCAGGGGGGGTTCTTCGATGGGCTCCACTTCCACCGGGTGATCCCGGACTTCATGGTGCAGCGGCTCGGCGTCCGGCGTCGAGTGATGATCCGTGGGCCGGAATTTGGTTTGGGCGCGTTTTTTCTTGTTTTTTGGTTGGCTCGGGCGGGAAAGGGCTGTCTTCCAGTTGCTTAAGAATATGTGTTTATTTTTCCCGTGGTTGGTGTTAGAGACTTTTTGGAGGGAACGCATTACTCGAACATGGAGAGTTTTTCCAGGGGGCGAATTCGCAAATGGAAGCTGCAGGAGTGGGCTGTTGATGTCATTCGTGTCATGTGGTGGCTGGTTGCGGTGTCCAATGCTTCCTCTTTTGTTTCCTTAGGTCACCTTGGCAAAGTAAAAGTGAGCCTCCTAAAATAAGACGCCCAACAAGGGGGACACAACATGGGGCCACCGAAAAGGGGGTTAGTGAACTTGGCCGACGCCCGAAGATCCTCAGGTTTGGGTGCCCCTTCGCCAAAGATCCCTACAGCAAAGGCACGGCACAGCCGGAATGCCCGATCGATCGGATCGATCGGCGCGCAGACGGATCGGTCGGGTTTCGGTTTGGTTCCGGATGCGCGCAGGGTGGATGTAACGCTCTTTTGGGTTTCAACCAAGAATGGCTAAAAGGGTTTCCTTTTGGTGTCCCTTCAAGGCCACAAACAAAAACGAGGTATCAGAAACAAAATGCACCCACTCAGGTTGCCCGGGGCTTGGAGTCCCTGATTTCCGGTTCTGAACGCGGCAAAAACTCATTCTCGGAGCTCAGGGACTTTAAACACGGAACCTGCCAGGTCCCCCCACGGAGAAATGTCGTTTTGTTGTGCCATGGACTTAGTCCCATCCTGATGATGAAACTCTCTAACAGGGTCGCCTTGAACCCGAAAGCAGCTGGATTCATCCCTTGAATGGCCACCCTGCTTGGTTCATATCCCCAGCAAATCAGTGCCGAGTCTCCCTGATCTGCCTGCGTCGCTGTGTCTTTTTTGGGGGGGCCCGGAAACTGGGTGGTACCCTCAACAAGAGACAGACCCATATACCCCAATGACGACCATGGATGTTGACCACTTACGCCCCGCTGGAAATGAACAAAAAAGAACCCAAAGGTCCCGAAGGAGACTTTTCTCACAAAAACTTTGCTTGATCTGTGGAGGGTAGATATCAGGATTTAACCAGTGGGTTTCAAAGCCACAGCTTCTGTGTATGTTTTGCCCTGTGGATCCCAGTTAAGGTAACCAGCTCTATTCCTTTTGGTTTTTACAGGCTGCTGCCCTGGGTTACCTACTATACCGAAAGAATGAGTAATGCCTCCTTAGGATGACACTAGTCTACTTAGGCTACATGCCTGTTTTGCAGCTTCTCCAGCTTTTGCGGACGTAATAACCTTATTAACTATTTCACTGGGCTTTGAATCCACTCGTCCGGCAGCGAGTTTTTTAGGGCGGACCCATCCACGTGTTTGTTTCCTCGCCCGTGATTTTCTTCTTCGCCAGCCGCCGGCAGCGGCGGTCCTGCAGCAGGGCTGCTTGGCAAAGCGAAGAGTCTTTGTGACTTCACCTAGGTCCCCCTGCTAGGTGCCCTGTTACCGTTTCTTTTTTGGGGCAGGGTTCCCCTACTAAAATAGACTATAGAAAAAACGGGTACCCTTGTTCTAACCTCTCTACTGGAGGACCTAGTCAATGTTTGACATGTCATAGTAGCTTTTGTTGTTACAACTGTTGGTGGTCATGTTTTAATCGCTGTTGCTTTTTTTGTTCAATCTTACGAGGGTGAGGTCATACAAAGAGTTTTTTTCAGCTAGTTATGCTAAATTGGACATGTGGCTCACAGCCAACCATGCGGATATCCGGCCGGCTCGATTCTTTTTGTTCATGGTGGGTGGAGCACGCTACCTGGTTTTGACGATGGCTCACCTGACAAAGCAGCCCCTTGTTGTTTGCTCCGGAAGCATCCAATCATCATAAGTTGCCTTTTGACATTGCATGAGTCAGTTGACTGTTTTTGCCCTTTTGCCCCCTTTAGATTTCCTGCATTCTCCCGCGCTTCAGGTGGCTCTTAGCATAAGATGGTGGGGTGTAATGGCATATACAACTACTATGGCACTGTATAGGTGGCATATGCACATATATATATATAGATACCATGGTTTTCCCTTGGGTGCCCGTAGTGGTTTGGGGGTAGTGGAAACCATCACGGAAACATCAAAGGTTCCCTAGACAATTGCCCTGAAGGTTGTTTACCCCAAGACCCAAGGACTAAGTGACTAACCGAGGGAGAAATGAGCCCTAAGCCAACGAGGTAACGTGTTGAGGTTCTGCCTGGTCTGGTCTAGCGGGTTTGGGGACATGACAACAACCCATTGGTTTTCATGACCGGCACCGTCTGAATCCCTTTCTTGTCGGGAAAGTTTTTCAGGGACTGGCGAGGGAATGGCAGGCTTTCCGCTCTCTTTGGGCCCTGGCCCCAAAAGGCTAACTTTACATGTCTGGGTCCTTTGGGCAACTGAAGTATAGTTCGGAGTCAGTTCATTTTAGGCAGATCCAGAGCAAGGTCCCGCCAAAAATCCGAAGTCTTTGCCACGTCAAAGTAGGAGCCAACTAACAACAACCTTCTGTGGCAACCTCCTTTCGGGAATGAACACCTGCGACTCCATGCCAAACTCAGGGGGTTGGCCAATTGAGATGACGCGGTTGAACAGCCAAAAGCCCTGCACGAAAAACAAAAAAAGGAAACCATCAGGAGTTGCCGTTTCTTGCGCGGTTTATGTTTCTGTAGCTTACCTCACTCCAAAGCGACGCGACCCTTCCAGCGATTAGCATTTTTTTGGGTTTAATATATCGTATCCCCTTTTCGGTTTCTGTTGTTCGCTGGTTTCGCCTTTGGGCTTTTTCAAGGGGTGTTCTTCTCAACCTGGGTCCACCTTGAACTCCTTTGAAGGAAGGCACCATATCTCGCATTTCCCCGGTTGAAGCAGCCAAACATAAAACAAACGAAAATAATTGGATCTTATCAACAAAATTGAAGTGAACATTAATAAATATTCTTGTTCCAAACAAATTCCCGAGGGAAGCGGCGCCAGGAACTTCCAGAACCTCTGCACGGGCGCCACTGAAAGGCGCAAGGAGGGAAATATCGAGGAGCGGATGGCCCCATTCTTCTCCCACTTGTTTTTTCGAAGAAAAGAAAGAAAATGCGCCTGGAAGGGGGGGGGGACCCCCTTTTGGTGAGGCTCTCTCAGACTCTAAGGGATAAGCCTTCCCCGGAAATAAGGCCAAAACGGGCCTCTCGGAGGCAAGAGACACACCCAAAGAGCCAGCCACAGTTGCGGAGATCCGCCTCTTTGCATGATTTTGGGTGCCCCTTGAGTACCGTATGTAGCTTAAAGCCACAGTTTGGCCAGGGGCGTGGAATGAACCTGTACAATTGGGCCTTCCTCTTCAGACTCCGGTCTTCAAACAGGGACACCCTTGATTGACAGCGTGGCCTTTGGGATTTGCATTGCTGGCTTGGGGCTTGAAGCCCTTGATTGAAGCAAACCACTTTTCCGAAGCTCACCAATCCATGAGTCAGAGAGCAGCTGAGTTTTAGGCTGGCCCTCGACCTAAGGGACGAAACAGTATCACAGGCCATGTCCGGAGGCTTTTAGCACACACACACATATAAATATATATATATATATCTCTCTCTCTCTCAGCTCCCCGACTGCCCACCAACCCAAACGACCAACTAAGGGCTACCTGATTGTTGGCCAAACTGTCTCTAAACTCTTCTTGCCACAAATTTCTACTTGGAAGTGTTGGTCGAACGGGTCGAACGGGTCGAATGACGAGCTATTCGCGAAACACGCAGGACGAGTTCTGCTCGCAAGACAGCAACGCGCCTGGAACCTTGGCTATGGCGAATTGTGGGCAGCCCAACACAGGCAGGCGACAAGCAAGCTGAAGAGTAGAGGGCCCAACTTTTCCCCGAAGTGGTTGGTTTGGCATACGTCAGCCAGCAAAACCAGTTCTTCCCGCATGGGGCCAGTGCCCCAGAGATGTTGTAGGAAATGAGTTTGGCCTACCATCGACCCCTTGAAGCGACAACCTCGTCAAAGTGATAAGCACTTCAGCATCGCAAAGGGAGGCCAATCTTCCACAATGCTGATTTAGCTGACGGCTTAGATGCTTCGTTTGAGCACATGTCCTGTTGCTCCCCTTGTTTTTTGCTACTGTATCTGGGTTGGGCAAGACTTGTTTCCACAATCAGACCCTGACCTCTTCAGAAAAACTTTTTTTTGGGCGACCCGCCGGGGTTCGAAGGTGTGAGTCGCTCACCCAAGGTCCTTTAAGCGGTGCGAAGCGAAGCGGCCAGGCGGTTCCCAGTTCTTTGTGAACGTGGCCGACAACAGCTTCCTGGATTGGTTTTCTGCAGGTCCCGAAGCGGGGTCCGATGGATCGGTGTTTCCGCAGGTGAACTCGGAAGGGTCCGAGGGAAGTGCCCGTGGCCCAGGCGTAGCTTAGGAGACCGAAAAGGGGACCTGCGATTTTTTTTCGCCGAAGACTTGGTGTTCACCACAAAATGCCAAAGCATGCCAAAGCCTTCTCTATGTTTCCAGGGCCACCCAGCCGGCCGGTTCTCAGAAAAGGGAAAGGAGAAGCCAGGACGGCTCAAGCCTGGTTTTCAGGCGTTGAGGTTGGAACAAGGGACTAGTTGCTGCCCCTTTTGTCGGGGTAGGGGGAAATGTGTTCCTTTGAGAGCCGTGCACCCCCCTTTAGATCAGCCCCCTAGTGGGCGGGACTCCATGGCCGACCTCTCTGTTCTTGGGGCCCCCAGGCTCGCTAAGTGAGAACTCAGCTTTTGATCTCCGGAGCGCCTCGGGTGGGAGTGATCTTTCATGCCAGCGACCCATTTGAAAATTTCGGTGGCAAGTTGGGCAACCCCGTTTATTGTCTTAGGACTTTGGGGTTCGGCAGTTGTATGTCATGTGTTAAAGGGTTTATTTTGAGCTTCATTGTTCTTTGTCTGAAGAACTATGTTATTTCAGTCTTTCCGTTTCCCAGATGCTCCTGCCCCCTAATGTTGGATCGGTGGTTTAGGGACTTGAGCTGGTTCTTGTCGAGAGCAAAAGGGAAACCACCTTAGAACCAGGGGAGTCTTGTTGCCACTTTTGGTGAGAAAATTGGCAACCCCGTCAAAAAGGAATCTTGCACTACAAGGGGGTCGATCATTTTTCCACCAAAGGTGGCAAAAAGACCCCCCTGATTCAAACCAAAAATTCGGGGGAAGCTGTTGTTTTGGTCGGCTCCCACTGCTCCGAGCGCTAGGCAACTCCAAGCACCCGGTCTTCGGCCGCATCGTGAGCGGCTTTGACGTGGCCGCCCCTCGCATGGAGTTTTTAAACGCCGAGGCGGTTTCTGTGTAATTCAGTCGTGGGCTAAGGTATCGTTTGGTTTGGTGGCTGGGGGGTTCCACTTTTTTTTTAGGGTCCCCACATTTGGAGGAGAGAAAGCCAACGATTTCTCATTTTGGACTCCCCCGATTCGAATCACCCCGCAGGCAAGGGGTTCAAAAGGGTTCCTTGAACGTTTTCAGAGAAATGTGCGCTTTACCACTAGCCAATGCAAAACAGAGTGCCACCCACCATTTGCAGAGAGAAGCTGTTGCACTAGTTGAATCTCCATCGAGCCTGTGCCGTCTTTCACTTCCTTCTCGCTGTCGGCAGGCATCCGGAATGGGCGTGGGACTTTTTGAAACAGCCCGCGGAAAGGTTTTAGGCTTGAACACCGTCCACACACTTGGGTGCGTGTTGTATTTGATGGAGCCCCTTGTTGGGCCTGGTTTTGCAACGAAATGGCTGTGGGTCAAAACTAAGGGCACCATTGTTTGTAGGTGCACCACCCATTTTAGTCTATTTTAGTGGGGCTTGGGATGTTCACTGAGGGTACGGGCTTTTGACCCATGGCCAAATGACGAGGAAACCGTTGCCGGTTTGCTGGGGATCACGTATCTTTCGACGCGTCCATCCGGCTCCCCGGCGCACCCCTGCGCAGATTCGCACGAGCGGGGGTGAGGCAAAAGAAGCTCACCTAGTTCCGCTTTGGGAGTTGTCGTGGTTTGCCCTGATATTGTAACTGACTGGCATGATTTCCTTTCTTCAGCATTCCCAGCAGATTTCGACTTGGCAGGGTAAGAAAACAGGGTCAACATTTGAGCCATTAGAGAAGGATGCTGATGTATAAGGGTGTGTATATGCATGTGCATATATATATATATAGATATCTAGACGCATCTATGTGCTATTGGTGCCGCTCTTTCTGTTGGACGAGGTCAAAATCTCCAAGGCGACGACGAAGGATGACCGCCCCGTCCAGCAGCCGGCCAAGCGGGTGTAGATTTTTCAAGCACATGTGCACCGGAAAGAAACAACATGTTTTCCATGCAATTGGTTTTGCCGGTGCCACTTCTCCGGCCACTTTCAGTTGGGTGAAAGTAATTAGATGGCACATCTCCCCATGTTGGTTTAGTTTTTGCCTCTTAAAGTCTTACCCAAATCTACAGGTAATTCTGTCCTCTACCAGTCAAGCAAATGGCTGCACGCTTGGCGGCCAAACGTATTATCTTGGCTTGGAGTCCATACTGAACCTGAATATGTTAAAATAAATCCCAGCATTCCCCCCAACCGGAGGCGGCGATTGCAAAAGCGGCCTCCATGTTGGTTGAGTTGGACTCACTTCCGATCGAGCGGAAAAAAGTGACCAAACCTCTTTGTTTGCCACTCAAGTGATATTCCCAAGAAGCTTGAGGTGTTTCTGTTTTAGGGTCAACGGGTAACCCTGGTAGGATGAACTCGACCTCGCAGGGTTTGACCGGTTTTTTTCCCTGAAGGCACCTTCGGGGGGGGAGTCCTGGAGTGCCGATTTCGATAGCGCAAGAGGCGCTTTGTTTTGTTGTCAGCCCGTTTTCTTCAGCAATGCAAGTGGAGGGGGGCCTTAAATCACGTGATGCTTTTTTGGTCCAGCAAGATGTAGGTTCGGGTTGGCCAAAAAGTAAAACAGAATCTAAAGATGCAGTGGATGGACCAAGTCCTGCACCGCCGGTGGGTAGAACCTTGTTCGTGGGTTGAACAGAGCAACTGGTGCACTACCTCCAGCAGTACTTTATATCTTCCGGGTTTCGCACGAGGGTAGACGATATGGATGCCCTAAACATCGCATAGGAAACCAGGAGAAGCCCGATTTTCGGCAAGTTACCGTTTTTTGTTCTGCCGTAAGCTTTTGTGGTTGAGAATTGTTTGCTCGCAAAATGCGGCGTGGGGTACCCAGCCTGCCCTTGCGATATTGAGGGCGCTTCCTCCAACGTTTGCCGAATTGCTGAAAGTAGAACGCTCAGCTTCTAAATCCGAGGCCTAGGGTTGAAGATGGACCAAAGTCATTCGCCTTTTGCTACAACGTGCGATTTGGGACAAATCGAACTTCCAACTGCCAACTGTGCGATGAAAGGCGGGCGCGGGTAAGAAGTCGTTTTTCTTTTTTTCTTCTTCTTTTTTCCCAAAGGTGCCAAACCGCCCGAGCCACGCATCACGGAGCGTCAAGGAGGGTTGGGAGTTTTGGTGGAGGCCCTTCAACTCGAAGATATGGCAATATGTTCAAAATGGGGCGCTTCTTTGGACATTAGAATTTAAGGGCTGCCGCCCAGTGCCGCCGACCCCATACAGTTAAGTACTCCAAAGAGGGCTGGCTTCTTTTTGGCTTGCCTTTAAGGCAACCCAAAAGAAGGGCACCCTCAAACAAACACAGCCGCTAACAGAGCACAAGCAACACGTTCCTTTTGGATGCTACAAACATGGTTGTCCTGCGTAAATGATCGGACCTGTTTATGTAGCTCGTTGGCTCAACCGGTTTGATGACCGTGATGATAACTATCATCGTAGCATCCTCGGCATCACCAGTGCCGGCTAATAAGAGATGATGATGACCATGATGATAGTGAGGATAAGGGTGAGGACTGTGATGATAATTTTCATCGTAGCATCCTCTGCATTGCCAATGCTGTTTAACGTTACTTTTGAAATGCATATAAGAAAGTAAGAAAGAGATGATGATGACCATCAGGATGAGAAGAGTGATGATGATGGTGACGACCATCCTCACGATGATGATGAGGAAGATCCTGACGATGACTGTGATGATAACTGTCATCGCAGCATCCTTTGCATCACCAGTGCTCCCTATTGAGAGATGATGATGACCGTGATGATAATGATGACAAGGATGAGGACTGTGATGATAATTATCAGCGTAGCATCCTCTGCATTGCCAATGCTGTCTATCGTTACTTTTGAAATGCATATAAGAACATGAAAGAGATGATGATGACCATCAGGATGATGATGAGAAGAGTGATGATGATGCTGATGACGACCATCATCATGATGATGATGAGGAAGATCCTGATGATGACTGTGATGACAACTATCATCGCAGCATCCTTTACATCACCAGTGCTCCCGAATGAGAGATGATGATGACCGTGATGACAATGATGATCAGGATGAGGACTGTGATGATAACTATCATCGTAGCATCCTCGGCATCACCAGTGCCGGCTAATGAGAGATGATGATGACCATGATGATAATGATGACAAGGATGAGGATGATAATTACCATCGTAGCATCCTCTGCATTGCCAATGCTGTCTACCGTTACGTTTGAAATGCATATAAGAACAAGAAAGAGATGATGCTGACCATCAGGATGGTGATGAGAAGAGTGATGATGATGATGACGACCATCATCATGATGATGATGAGGAAGATCCTGATGAACTATCATCGTAGCATCCTTTGCAGCACCAGTGCTCCAGGATGAGGGCTGTGATGATAATTATCATCGTAGCATCCTCTGCATTGCCAATGCTGTCCAACGTTACTTTTGAAATGCATATAAGAACAAGAAAGAGATGATGATGACCATCCGGATGGTGATGAGAAGAGTGATGATGATGATGGTGACGACCATCCTCACGATGATGATGAGGAAGATCCTGACGATGACTGTGATGATAACTGTCATCGCAGCATCCTTTGCATCACCAGTGCTTCCTAATGAGAGATGATGATGACCGTGATGATAATGATGACAAGGATGAGGACTGTGATGATAATTATCATCGTAGCATCCTCTGCATTGCCAATGCTGTCTATCGTTACTTTTGAAATGCATATAAGAACAAGAAAGAGATGATGATGACCATCAGGATGATGATGAGAAGAGTGATGATGATGCTGATGACGACCATCATCATGATGATGATGAGAGATGATGATGACCCAATGATGATAAGGATGAGGACTGTGATGATAACTATCATCGTAGCATCCTCGGCATCACCAGTGCCGGCTAATGAGAGATGATGATGACCATGATGACTGTGATGATAATTATCATCGTAGCTTCCTCTGCATTGCCAATGCTGTCTAACGTTACTTTTGAAATGCATATAAGAACAAGAAAGAGATGATGATGACAATCAGGATGGTGATGAGAAGAGTGATGATGATGATGATGACGACCATCATCCTGATGATGATGAGGAAGATCCTGATGATGACTGTGATGATAACTGTCATCGTAGCATCCTTTGCATCACCAGTGCTCCCTAATGAGAGATGATGACGACCGTGATGATAATGATGACAAGGATGAGGACTGTGATGATAATTATCAGCGTAGCATCCTCTGCATTGCCAATGCTGTCTATCGTTACTTTTGAAATGCATATAAGAACAAGCAAGAGATGATGATGACCATCAGGATGGTGATGAGAAGAGTGATGATGATGATGGTGACGACCATCCTCACGATGATGATGAGGAAGATCCTGACGATGACTGTGATGATAACTGTCATCGCAGCATCCTTTGCATCACCAGTGCTTCCTAATGAGAGATGATGATGACCGTGATGATAATGATGACAAGGATGAGGACTGTGATGATAATTATCATCGTAGCATCCTCTGCGTTGCCAATGCTGTCTAACGTTACTTTTGAAATGCCTATAAGAACAATAGCAGAGATGATGATGACCATCAGGATGATGATGAAAAGAGTGATGATGATGCTGATGACGACCATCATCATGATGATGATGAGGGATGACTGTGATGATAACTATCATCGTAGCATCCTTTGCATCACCAGTGATGATAATAATAATAAGGATGAGGACTGTGATGATAATTATCATCGTAGCATCCTCTGCATTGCCAATGCTGTCTAACGTTACTTTTGAAATGCATATAAGAACAAGAAAGAGATGGTGGTGGCTATCATGATGATGATGAGAAGAGTGATGATGATGATGATGACGACCGTCATCATGATCATGGTGAGGATGATCATGATGATGACTGTGATGATAACTATCATCGTAGCATCCTTTGCATCACCAGTGCTGCCTAATAAGAGATGATGATGACCGTGATGACAATGATGATAAGCATGAGGCCTGTGATGAAAACTATCATCGTAACAGCCTTTGCATTGCCAATGCTGTCTAACGTTTCTTTGACGACCATCAGCATGATAGTGTGATGATAACTATCATCGTAGCATCCTTTGCATCACCAGTGCTGCATAATAAGAGATGATGATGACCGTGATGATAATGATGACAAGGATGAGGACTGTGATGATAACCATCATCGTAGCATCCTCGGCATCGCCAGTGCCGGATAATGAGAGATGATGATGGCCGTGATGATAATGATGATAAGGATCAGGACTGTGATGATAACTATCATCGTAGCATCCTCGGCATCACCAGTGCCGGCTAATAAGAGATGATGATGACCGTGATGATAATGATGATGAGGGTGAGGACGGCTAGTAAGAGATGATGATGATGACCATGATGATAATGATGATAAGGATGAGGACTATCATCGTAGCATCCTCATGCTATCTAACGTTACTTTTGAAATGCATATAAGAACAAGAAAGAGATGATGATGACCATCATGATGATGAGAAGAGTGATGATGATGATCAGATGCAGCGTCGCTCATGATGATCATGATGATCCTGATGATCATCACTACGCATCTCCAGCATCACCAGCAGTTACCGTGATGATATCCTGATGACAATCATCACTATGCATCCCCTGCATGAGCAGCAGCTGTCATAACAATCATGACTAAAATGCATCACTGCATTCCAAGCCGGGTTGAACGGCAAGCTTGAAACGTAGAATGCTGATGATTTGGATGCTGCGAACCCATCACCCAACATCAGTGGTGCTGATAAACATCACGAAGACAAGGACGAATACAAGCCCTTCCCATGCGCCTCCCCTTTGGAGAAAGGGGTCGGCGGATTTGGGGATTCATATCCAACCACTCACTCAAGTGGGTGCCCCGTTTAGATGCATGTTTCCCACTGAGGCTTATGGAAAATCGGATTGGAATTGGTCGCTTTCTTTTTGGAACAGCCCAGCTAGTCACAAAAATGGTCTTTTTCGGGCAGCGCCGGGTCGAGGCCGATCAAGATGCTCTCAGTGAAGGTGTCAGGCTTTGAGTCACCCCGCGCGCAAAAAAGTGGCTACGGCTAGCAGGATTCACGGATGGCTTCCACTGCCTCGGAGAAATCGAAAACCGGGGGGGGGGGGGAGAATCTCATTTGAGCCACTTGCTCAAAACCCGGGTAGATGAAGGTTAGTAAGGGGCAGTCCCAGCCAGAAATAGTTTCGGATATCCGCCTTCTTAATTCTTGAAGCATAGCTCTGGGTAGACCATTTTAATACCGGGTTTTGATTATGACTCATTTGGGAGTGAGGGTTACGCTGCTTCTAGTTCGTAGTTCCATTTGCCAAGGTGCATCTTTGGTACATGTTCGTGAGCCACAGCCATTTGCATGCCCTGACGGCAGCTTTAATGGTGGCATTGCAGATCTGACTGCCTTCCTGGAATTATAGTAGTTGGGGCTGGGCTTCCTTGCAAAGCCATGTGATCCGCTAAAAGCTGCTACCACAAATGCATATAGGGAACCTGGATGCATGTCCAAGGGTATTGATATGTCTGCATGGGGTGGGTCGGGCAGTGAAAGGCTTCGGATGTCGCGAATGTATTGAGCCACCAACCCATGGCACAGGATGCGGCCCTGCATATTGGAAGGGTACTGAATTGCGCAAAAGCGCAAAAGGGGAGGTCAATCGAGCCCAAGGGAGGGAGACAACCAACACTTCGGAATCCCAAACAACTCATCCCTTGACCGTCGGCATCCTAGTCCAATCTCATTTGCTGGGTGTTACTTTTGCCTCACTCATCTTTGAGGACAAAGTGCCATGACTTGTGAATCTGCTGTGGTTTTTTTTTCGGAAAGTGCCGAGCAAACTGCCGAGCCGCCGGGAAACCCCGCTCAGCTTGCTGCATTTCGAGCATGGGTCATGGAAAGGGCCCGGTGGAAGCTGATACGGGTTTTTGTGGCTGGAACCCCAAGACCAAGTCTGATGGACAAGCTGCTGGACTTGAGCGTTTTCTTTTTTCTTCAAAAAACCGAAGGTTTGCCTCAGCTTTGGGTTTGTTCATGGATCAACCCAAGATTTGTTCATGGGTCAAATCGGGGGGTGTCTCTTCCCTCAGCTTGGCTCCAAGTTCGATCGGCCCCCGAAGCCCGGCCCAGGGAAAGGCCAAGGAGTTCGAAGGGAGCTGAGGGAACGAGACCAGGTTTGGGACTTGCGCTTGTTCCATGAATTCGCTTTGCATTTGGCCGGATGTTAGGACTGAACAACTTTTTGCCAACTCATGGGTTTTCCACTAAACCACTAAAAGTTAAACTTTTTAGCAGGGGAGCAGAAAGCAACTGAGTTCAATCGTCAGCTTCCCTCCAATTGGTGGTTCGGCTTGGTTCGGTGAAGTTGTTTCCAAGTAAACCTCAAGAGGAACCGGGGGTTAAATCGCCCACCACCAATCCAAACCCCCAAATACGGGTTACCGGATGAATGGTTTCCAAGGGACGCGTGAAAATTCTCAACTTGAACTGTGTGAAGCTTTTTGCTCAGTGAACCTCATCAAAGGACCGACACAGTGTTGTCACTTGTGGCTGGATCGTCAGCTCGCTGGCCGCGATTCGGCTAGGAAGCGCAACATTGAGGTCTGCATTGTGCCACCTTTGGCAAAGGTCTTTGGTTCGACATGAAAATATCGCTTCATTGCACAGGAACGTCCGGTACATAAAGTTGATTAACACTCATAGATATATATGATTATATGTATATACAGTACACGTTGTATGTTGTTTATGGAACCCCTGAGTTGATGATGTGGCTTGGCTTGATTGAAACCCTGCCTGTTGTTCATGCAAGGGAAACCTTCCGAACCACCAATCCAAACCCCGAGTTAGAGGGAAGCTGAGACTCTTGGCAGGCGATCAAAGAGTCAAAGGTTTACTTCGACAATTAAACTGGGCTCCTTAAACAAAACATTTTGCCCATTTGAAACATGGCTTGTTCGACCAACATACAGAGACATCACCATTTCCAAGGCAACGTTCAGGTGTATACTGTAAGGATCCCTGTTAAAAGAAACTCACATATAGCTTTTTCAAGAGAGGATGTCCAACAGGAACATATAGGGACCCTTCTGAGAGTATCACATTGCGCTACCAAAAGTCTCAATGGTACTCCGGCCGTGAAACTTGTTGCTTTTTGTTCCTCCATCAAGTATCAAAAAGGATTATGGTTTGCAATGTGCAAAGATGAGCTTCTCCCCAAGAAAAACCAAATACCTGGGCCCTCCGGGTGTGCTAAATTTCGTTTGGCGAAAAAGCAATATTTTCCGCTGTTTCGTGCAAAAATGCGCTTTTTGACCCAACAACTGCTCGCTCTCAAGATTGCCGCGAAGCGTGTCAGCAAGAAGTGAACTTTTGGACCGAGGAAAAGCGCTTTTCCAGCACAAGCCCAATCAAGAAAACATGCATCACTGGGAAACCCGCAGCTAGCAAAAGCGCGTCCAAAAACACTTTTTCTCGAAAGAGCGCCAAAAAGGCACACCTTGGAGGATCCAGGCATGGTTCGACATGTTTTTGATTTCGGCTTAATGTTGGCAATTGTGGGGATAGTGAAAGATCTTGGCACTTAAAACGTGGCGCACTTTATCCCGACATACGGCCTTGCATTCATATGGCTTATCGCCTTAGGGACCCTTTGGATGAGACTTCAATGGTTTTTGTATGCAAAAGCTCTTGAAATGATGGGTAGCCATGAAGCCCCACTTACATGGTGTCCACCAACAGGGGGTCCCTAATAACTGCCATGCAGCATTACATATTTAACACAAGTGACACACTTGAATCCATCTACTTGAAGTCGATCCAGCTACCTTTGCCAGAGGGTCCAAGTACCTCATATTTTCACGGATTTGGGGAATCTGTAGTTGACGAATCCCTTTGAATCAAAACTCTGTGGTACTTGGGAGCCTCTACTTTCCAGACACGCTGGAAGCCAGGGGTCCCCAGTAACTCCCATACAGTACACATCTAACACACGTGGCAGACTTGAATCAATCTACTGGAGTCGCGACAAAATTCCCTATGCAGTACATATTTACCACAAGTGACACACTGGAAGTCCATCCAGCCACCTTCCTGCACGCGCCCGGGCCATGGACTTCAGCGACGGCGAGGCCTTGCTGCGCGCCAGCCACGTGGGCCACGAGGCCGCGGTGCGTCTGCTGCTGGCGGACCGCGACGCGCGCCACGCGCTGCGCGGGGCCTCGCCTTGGTGCGGCCGGGCGCTGCGGGCGGCGGCGAAGGCCAGTTGTCGAGACGCATTTGACGCGTTGCCCCCGGGCTTTGGTCGATGTTTGGTTACCTTGGTGGCTCCCAGCCATACGGTTCCTTAGCTTTTTAGATCTTTTTCGCCTTTAAGTGTTTAGTGGTGGTTTCCATTTAACACACTAAAAGTTAAACTTTTTTGCGGGGATCTGAGGGCAGCCCAGTTTTGGTCACTCAGGTGCCCAACATCGACCTAAAATCACCTTTTGGGCTTCCCCTTGTTGAAAGGTCCACTTCTAGTCTTTGCATGCTGTGTTGCTCAGGTGGAGGTGCAACAAGTGTTAATTAGGATGAACACCCGTTTGTTATTGTTTGGGTGTTTTTCTTGTTTCCTTCCCGACCGGCCCAAAACGAGTACCCTTAGAACAGACACACCCATATATAAGGGTCGCATCAGTATGGAACATAATCAGACTTATTTTATGTTTTGGGTAATTACCCCAGATGTGATTTGTGTGACCCGCAAAAGGTGCGCTTTTGTTGGAACACAGCAGTGGCCTTACTTGGAATAAAGTTGCATTGCAACGTTCATTAAGTATGGTGTCATGCATGTTGTGGACCCTCTCCCAGTTTGCTGCCTATTTAATGGCAACCTCACTTGTTTGGAGGGGTCCAATTCTTGTCCTGGAATTAGTGACGATTGTAGTACACCTTTCGGTTTTTGTCATTGTTGGTGATGTTTTAAAAAAGAAGCAATGCTACCCTGCTGACACACAATTGGATGGTTACACCAGGACCCTTTGTCACAGCGCCAGACCATGCACCAAAGCCAAGCCGGCCATTTGGCTTTTGAGCACCCTAAGGAAAGTATTGGAAAGGAGGTCAATGGACGTTTGAAGTCTGCTTATGAGGCCAAAAGACGCATAAGTCTTTGTTCCAGGATTGCAACGTCGCAGGAACGCGGAGGGGATATCGCGGTTCTTGCCATGTGTTGAAAAAATGTGTGCTTCCCCAAGAATATGTTTTAGCGGGGTCTGCGAAGAACAACATTTGAGGTCCACGATGGTTCTGAGAACCTTTGCGGGTTATGGGAGCGAGGCGGCCTAGGTTGTTCAGCTTGCTTTTGGCTCACTTCCTGCGATCATGCACTTTAGTCACTTTCTGGGCTTGGGCTGTTTTTGTGGTAAGCAAAAGCTTCCGACGTGTTTGGCCAGTTCACTCAGCTTGTTTTGGCGGCCGTAAGGCTTGGAACGGAAATCGCCGCAGGGGGGCCACTGCGGGGTGGTACGCCTGCTACTGGACGCCCGAGCCGACCTTGAGGGGGAGCTGGAGACGGAAGATGAGAATGAAGCTCATTCCGCATGCCCCATGTTTTTTTCCCGGGTGGAGGGCCAGGGGATGTTTTTTTTTTTTTCGTCGGTTGGGAGGTCGCCTCATGGATTTATGTTTGTCTTGTGTAGACCCGTTTTTCTTTTATCTCGGTAAATGTCCTTATGCTTTCTTTGGGCTGGGGTCGGGCTTAGCTTTCCAAGTTTGATTCGGCTCTTTCTTGCGGGCTGTGCATCGGTTGCTTTTCTTTGGGAGTTTCAGCTTCCATCCCAAAAGCTGACTGTTCCCCTGCGTCGTGGCCGGCAACGTTGGGTTTGGGTCCCCTCGAGTTTCGAGTGACGAGGCTGTGACCTGGTTCTTTTGGGTGCCTTGTGGGGTTCTTTCTTCTTTCAGCCGTGCTTGTTCGGATTAAAACTGGGGAGCGCAAGAAGGCGGAGCAAGGTGCTAAAAGTACAAGGAGGTTTTGCACAACCCCCATTTGCTTGTTGATTTGAACCATTTTCCAAACGCCAGCCGTTTTACTAGACTGTGCGGAAAGATTCGGATGGGTTTGGAATGCTCGGGAGTTACCCGTTCGTTGGCTCTTTACGATCTTTGCTCTTGGAAATGGTAATGGTCGAAGTAGGAACACCCAAATGCATGAATGCCATTGGACCCCTTTGCTTCCCGAGAAAAGGCCCCCTTGGGTTCTACAGGGCCGTTTTGGGCGAACCATATGCAACGTGTTCATAAGTCACTTGGGGTTTACACAGAAGTTGGGTAACAAGTCTCAACTTATCGGATCTCCCCGCCCTGGGGTCATCCAAGGCTGTAAAGCCATGGTGGCAACGATCGCATGGTGAGGTGTAAGGTGGGCTTGCCCTCGGGCGCTCTGTGGTTTCCCCACTCAAAGCCTTGGGCCTCTTGAAGGTCTGAGCTCGGGCGGAAGACTTCCGGGCGGGGAATGTTCAGTTTCACTTGGGAACGTTATTAGCTTCCCACTCAGCGAAAAGCCAATGCTTGCAACTGCAAAAGCGCTCCCTTTTGAGCACCCTACCATCCATAGCGATGCGGGAGCTCAAAGATCAAGTTTTGGGGCAGGGCTGAGTTGCCACAAGATGATACCTTCCCACCACCCAGCAGGTTGTTTTATGATTCTGTATATTTTGGTTGTTGTGTTTTTGTTGGCGGGATTTTGTTACAGCTGGAAATGCTGGGGTCTCTGCCAAAATTTGCTCCGGAGTGGTCTGGAGCTCCAATGCAGCTCCCACGGAACTTTCCGGATGGGTTGCAGGGCGTTCCCGGGCTGTGACACAGTGGATGGACGAAATCCTGCACCACTTTGAACGCATGGGAAACCTGGATTTCTTTGTCGGTATGTGTCGCGGCCATCCCTCATTGGCCGCGCCAACAAGTTCTTTATGGTTTTTCCAACGGCCGGATTGAAACACCTGGTTCTTGAGTTGAGGACCTGGTTCTTGTTGAGCGGGAGAATGGGTTTGGCCCCTTCTTGGCCACACCACGCATCCAAACCAACCAACCAGGAGGCTGAGTCAACTCACCTGAGATCCCAAGCAAACTTGAGGTTTCGAAACAAATCCCTCCATTCCCTTCGCGACTCGGATTTCTGTCCCTCTGGAGCTGCAGCCCTGGTTCTTTTTCCAGGTAAACGGTAGACCCATCCAAGCCACCGAGTAGGGATCCCACCCCAAGCTCCTAACGTCCGAACATCACCAAGTTCCAAGCCTCCGATAGGGGGAAGCTGATTCAACTCGCTCGGGTTCCAAGCCAAGCGACCCACGCGATGAGTGATGACCTGTCGCAGCGGCGCTTCGCCCTCAACCACCGCCGACTGCACTCCCGGTCCGGACAGTGCAAAAAGCGCGCGGGCAACAGCTCCTGTGACTTAGCGCAGGGTTTCCCTGGCTACCTTCATACAAAATATGCACCCGAGGAGTCGGGGGACAGCCCCCTGGTGCTGGCCAGCAGCTCTGGGCGCTTGGAGGTGATCCGGGAGCTGTTGCACCGCGCCGCGGAGATCGACCGCCCCTCCGGCGGCCTCACGCCGCTCATGGCGGCACCTCGGGCGTCGAGGTGTCGTCTGGGTCCCCCAGCTAGGTGCTCTATCTCACCGCTTTTTTGGGGGGAGCGCGCCCCTACTGTGGATGGACGAAATCCTGCACCGCCCAAGGAAACCCTGGAATGATGACTCCCCTGTAAATACCAACCAACAATGGGTTTCTTATGGTTTCGAAGGTGGTGCGAAATGGATTTCGTCCACATCAAAATAGACAGTAACAAGTTGGTACCCTTGTTCTAACTTCTCAAATCTGGACCTCTCGTCGTGTGGTGCCTGGAGCGGAGGCTCCGGTGCCCGGAGCCATCGGTTTGCAAGGAGCCCGTGCTTGGGTCGCCAGATATATTTAAGAGCAGTCAGGCAAGTGCTTTGGACTGGTGGTTTGGAGCGGGGCCGGGGAAATGGGACTTTACATTGGCGGTTTGAAGCCTGATTGGGTTCCAACTTTTTGCACCCAGTCCGCTCAGTCAGGTGGACTTGGTTAGCGACAAACAACTCGACCCGGTCAACAAAAAGACCCTGACCCAATACAGGTCGGAAAAAAGAGAGATGCAAAAAAGCGATACAGGTAAAAACAAGAAACACATTCCCGATCAAGGTCGGTTTTGGTTTCCCGGCTGGACGGTGATTTGAGATTTCCTGGACTTTCTGGTTTGGTTTTGGATCTCTCTCTCTATATATATTTATCAGCCTTAGACTCATGCGCCCGACTCCCGACTCCCAAGGCTTCGGCGTCCACGGCCTCGGGGGCGTCTGGGGCGCTTGCCGCGCTGCTGGCCGCAGGGGCGGAGGTGAACCGCCGCTGCGAGGGCGCCACTGCGCTGCTGTGGGCGGCCTCTCAGATGGGGAGAGGTGGTAGGGTGGGTGGGTGGGGTGGGCGGGGGTTGGGGTGGTACTGTGGACGAAATCCGTTCGCACCAAATGGAAACCGTAAGGTTGGTGGGTATTTACAGGGGAAATCATATTTTTTCAGGGCCTTGCAGGATTTCGTCCATCCACAGTAGGGTTGGGGTCTCTTGGGATAGAGACTAGGTTTCGCAGATAGGTGCCCTTTTTTTCGTTTTTTTTTGGGAGTTCCCAGAAAAAGTTGGTACCCTTATTCTAACCTCTCTACTGGAGGACCTAGGAGATGTCTCTAAAGCACCCCAGACACAAGATGGGTGAGGGCAAAACCTGGAGCCTCTCATGTCGTAAAAGTGGGGGTCATAAACCAAACAAGGCCCCTGCCAAAGGATTTTCGAGAACGGAAGACGTTTTGGGATAGAGATAACTCGCACTTCCCGAGTTGGACTTGATCGTCGCTTTTTGCGTTTGGTTTCGCTATTTTGGGAAGGGCAAACAGCTTGGGTACCTTTCTGTGGACCAAGATGTTAGACACAGGGTGGCGGGATCGATCAACAACCAGATCCCAGAAAATCCCACAATAAAATCCCAGGAGACACTCAAGAAACATGAGCAGGGTTGTGGGATCACAAGGGGGGTTATCCAACCACTGCTTTTGATACAAGGGATTTCCTGCAGCCCTGGTTAGACATGCTCAGGACTACAGAGCCTGATGTTCCTGTAGTGACTCAGGGTTGGGTCATGATGGGTGGTTTCTTGGCCTTAGTTGAGGAGGCAAAAGGAACTCGCCTTTTTTGCACCCTGATCTTTGGTTTTGCGCCGCCTTTGAACACAACAGGCATGTCAAAGAGCGACCCTGATTTGACAAGTCCTTTGTTTCAACTCCGGTTGGTTTACAGACAACACAAGGAGAACTACCATTTTCGGGGGCTGAATCTCTTTGGCACATACCTAATTCGGCTTTTGGGGCCCCAGTTGGCCCCAGGCACTGCGCGGTATCGTTTCGGAATTGCGCAGGTATTGTTCAGGGTATCGTTTTCATCTCAGAACAATTCGACACATGAAGCACACTTTGACTTTGATAGCCAAGCTGAAACATCGCAGCAATGCTGGGTGAGCCAGGCGAGATTCCATCACGCCGACTGGTCGGATGTTTTCGGTTTGACATATGCGGGTTTGGGCGTTGCAGCTGAATTACCCGCTGGCATTTGGCGCAAGCGGTCTGCGCGATCACCGTGCAAACCACGAGCTCGTCTAAGGAAGGCCTTTGCAGGGGGAATCCAAGTTACATTTCACACATCGTTTTTGACTCAGCCCTGTCGCAATGGCGCCGGCTGAAAGCCAAGCGGGCACATCAATGAGCGGAGTCCATCTGAGCCTAGTCGGAAGGCTCGCGGAGAGAAGACTTCATGTGCAAGGCCAACACATTGCGGAGGGATGGAATGAAGATGACTGGACCAACTGATCGATCCATCCATGGCAGATCTCATGGTGGTGCCAAAGCATTGGCATGAGTCCCCCGTGGCTCGGATGCCACAACAGTCAGTCTTCAAAGAAATCAGAGAGACGTTTCCTTTTCCGGCATCGCTCAAGTGTGTTCCCAAATGTTCGGCCAATGCGAAGGCCGCTGTTCGGAGATGCCGATGCTGGAAGTTTGCAATCTTTGCCGGAGGAAGCTGTAGTTCTTGAGGAAGTGGCAGTGCAGACCACGCCGCGTGGTTTACGCGCTCACGAAACCTGAGAACACCTTGGAACACATGATGAAAGTCCGGAGTCGCCAAGGGGCTTCCACCAAGCTGTGGAATCGGCAGTGGCTCGCGGCTTATATAAAGATTCAGCCAGTGGCAGCCACGCCTATCCCGAGCTTTGTTCGTCTTGCGTGCATTCGGGCAATCGAGTTATGCAGGGCCCGCTCAAATCCTGGCAAACAAAGCTTCAAAAGGCAAGTGCTCTAAGGTAATCGGCAGCCTTCGCAAAAGAAGGGCCACACGTCAAATCAGTTAAGCATTCTTGCCGGAAAGCCAGCGTTTGCAGTTCAGGCCGGCTCTCGCATGCGCCACATGTTGTCGGTTCAGGTGTCCTAGCATTGCGCCTGCCCAGGCAGTAGCAGTCACTAAAAGCATCGTCTCTGAATATGATGTTCCCATCATAGGCTAAACCTTTGTGCCTTCAGTCGGCACCCGCAAAAGCATTGCATGAGCTCAGTTGTGCGTAGTCCTGCAGCCAGTTTGGCACCAGGGACGTGTGTTAATTGTTTTGCTTCGAGGGTGAGGAGCATTCAATCTACCTCCGTCTTGTGGCCATCTTCCCAGGCTTTCGAAGAAGGAAAAGCCATCGCAAAGTGCCACCGGCACGCAGTTCGTTGTCCGTTTTGCGTGATGCCTCGAAGTGCCGGACGAAAGTTCCGTCTCGCAGCTGCTGACTCAGGGCTTGCGCAAGGTGAATCTGAGTCGCTGGGTGCGGCGTGCTCTGCACCAGCTGCCTTGCTGTACCTGTGGGAAGTGGGAGGCTCATGCTCCAAGTGCGTTCCTGGCATCGGCTGAGCCATGTGGAACTCCATGGTGACAGCTGAGCTTCCTCTGAAGTGCTCATTTCAAGAATGGTCTAGTGTCATGGCTTGTGCAGCCATGCCAATGTTGCCAAGAAAGGCGCCGCTATTTTTGAAAGGAACTGGTGATCGCCACATTGGGCCAATTGTGCTTTAGCTGGAACTGACCGACTCCAGTGTGAAAGTGACTATGGCTGAGTACCACAGCCGGAAGGCAGAATAGCATCCTCTTGTAAGAGAGAGTGGTTCCGAAGTCGAAGCTTCTGCCTGCAACCTTGTCACGGGAAGGCTTCCGCAATCAGCCCGCTGAAAAAGGCTAAAAGGATGGGGCCTCGAAGGAATCGTGCAGCACGTTGCCAGGAAAAGGATTACTAGCTTGAATCTAATCCCCAGCTGCTTGACAGATTGCGGATTATGCGGTGTGCGGATCCGATTCTGTCGGATTTTTGCGGATTGAGGACAATCAGAGCAAGGATTAAGTGGAATACGGATTGTGACCTGATCCCTCGGGATTTCGAGCAGGCTTGAAGCCGCTGTCACACACTGATCGCAGCCTCAACCGGAGTTGACTCCGGCTGACAGAATCCCTGCGCAATTGGCCGATGAGCCCAATTGGCGGCCTTGAGTGGCCACTCAATTTGCCTCCAGCTTCTTTCTGCCTGAGAAAGCCGCCTCTTTCAGGCTGCCATGCGCAGGAGGTGCGCAAAAGATGTTGGGATGCAATTTTTGTCAATGGAATTCCGACAATGCAGGCTGTTGCCAAAGGCGCCCTGGCAGGAAGTCAAGTTTCAGTCAGTCTTAATCCCATGGAGCAACCCGTGCGCACGCCGAGATGTGTTGTTGCAGCTGGAACAAGGTCAGACAACAAGATGGCAATCCGCGCAATGTGACGGGCGGGAATTAGCAGTCAGCGTTTGCTTCATTGCCTTGAGTCAACATCACCCGACTCGCTTCCGAAAAAGCGTGGCCTTGGCGGATTCGTCTGACACAGATTGTTCTCAAGTGGTCGGCCCCTAATGCGTTGTCAAAGTCCCCTGCGTCAATTTGAGTGGGCAGTTCAGAGCGCCTCGATCGCGGAACCCGATGGATGGAAATGGTGTAGCATTCCGCAGAATGTGCACCTCTTCATCTGAGGTGTTCTAGGTTCAGTCCATCGTTCCAGCCTCATCTTGGATGCTGCGTGTGCAGTGTTGCGCGATGTTCGGGATCTGCTTTGCTCAGATGAGCGGTCGGCCGCGGCGTGAGCCTTTTAAGGGAACTTCGACTCATGGTGGGGAGACAACTAGGCAAGCTGCAAGCTAGCTCGTTTAGCTGCCGTCTTTTGTTGGTAGGGTCTGTTCGGTATAAGCCGGGTGCTGCGCAACACCTTGAATTTGGACTAGAGGACAACAGACAAGATCAGTTGAACTGGCATCGCGGACACAGATTTGTTGACACTGGGTTGTTATGTGCAAGGGCTTGTGCCTGCACTACTGCTGCAAGCCACGAAAAGCAATGACGCAAGACCACAATGATGCCACGTATACGGTGTTGCTCCAGTCGGCGTCTATCCTTCTTAATGGCAATTACTTGAGTGTGGCAAAACCGATTGCAAGCAGGAGCTGCGCAACAGATGTTGTAAGACCTAGTTTGGCAAGTCTGTCGCACAGCATGTTTGGCTTGATGTCAGATGCGCACAAAGTCACCAGAATTATTCGGACTACTTCGCAGCATCTTTGCCATCTTCAAAATACATCCATTGCCGCAGGGCGTGTGTGGTGTTGTGCTGGCATTTTCGACTCGGCTGTGGGTTGCGAGGAACTACGTTCGCCGCTGGCAGCTTCTTTTGTTTCTTGAGAGGGCCACCATGCGGTTGCCAGGTGCACGTGCAGAAGGTGCGCAAAAGGTGTCGGGATGCTGTTTATGCCAGCGGAATTCTGACAATGCAGGCTGTTGCCGTTTAGCTGCCTTGCAGGGATAACTCCAATTGCAGTCAGTCTTAGTCACATGGAGCAACCCTGCGCGCATCTGCGCGCCGCACATGGGATGAGTTGTTGCCGCTGGAACAAGGCGAGACAACATGACGGCAATCCGCGCAAAGTGACGGGAGGGAAGCAACAGTCAGCGTTTGCTGCATTTTGCTGCATTGCCTTGAGTCAACATCACCCGACTCGCTTAAAATGTGCGGCCTTGGCGGATTTGTCCGGCACAGATCGGTCTCTCGTGGTCAGCCCCTGCTGCGTTATCAAAGCGCCTTGGACGGGGAAACGCGATGAGAAGGAAATGGCGTAGCATTCCGCAGAATGTGCATCAGCCGGGGCGTTTTAGGTTCAGTAGGTTCGAGACCTGCTTCGTTCATATGGGCCGGCCGCGGCGTGAGCTTTCTAAGAGAACTTCGACTCATGGTGGGGAGACTAGGCAAGTTTCAAGCTAGCCCGTTTAGCTACCGTTTTCTGTTGGTCGGGCCTGTTCGGTATATGTCGTGTGCTGCGCATCACGTTGCAGCAGGACTAGGGGACAGTAGCCTAGATCAGTCGAACTGGCATCAGGGACCCAGATTTGATGACATGGGGCTGTCGTCTCCTTTTAGCTGCAACGCTGATTCGAGTGACATGTTCAGTCTCAACCCTGGCTTCGGCTAAGCATGCTTGCCCCCCTGCTTCCCCCAATGCTTGACAGATGCAGCTTCAGGCAAAGCTGGTGAAAAAGCTGCCATTACGCAGCCACGGGCAGAAGGTGCGCAAAAGGTGCTGGGATGCTATTTACGTCAATAGAATTCTGACAACGCAGGCTTTTGCCATGTAGTTGCCCGGCAGGGAGAACTCCAATTGCAGTCAGTCTTAGTCACGTGGAGCAACCCTGCGCGCGCCGCACATGAGATGCGTTGCCATTGAAGAGCCTAACTTGTTGCCAGAGTCCCCATCAGAAGTTGCAGCTGGAGACAGCAATCTGAGCAATGTGATGGGCGGGAAGCAGCAGTTAGCCCTTGTTTCAATGCCTTGACTCAACATCACCCGACTCGCTTCCGAACACGTGGGCTTGACGGATTTTTCGCTCACAGATCGTTTCCACTTGGTCAGCCCCCGTGTTGCATCATTTGCTCTTTGCGGCCCCCTGTGCAGATTTCACCCCCTGAGCGGCTTTTCAGCTCGTGGCATACCGTTGAACAAATTTGTGCCGTCGCCTAGTTCCAAGGTTGGCCGGTATGAGTCAGCCCCGGCTGCGTTGTCAAAAGCGCACACGTCAATTTGAGTGGGCAGTTCAAAGCGCCTCGAACGGAGAAGCCAGATGTGTAGAAATGGCATAGCATCCCGCGGAATGTGCACATCTTTAGCTGAGGTGTTTTAAGTTCAATTGTTGGTTCCAACATCATCTTGGATGATTCGTGTGGTCAGTGTTGCATGCATGTTCGAGATCTGCTTCGCTCAGATTTGCTGTGGGCGGACTAGTGGGGAGACTAGGGAAGTTGAATCATAGCCTTCTTCATGGCGAAATTGGGTAAGGTAAGCTTCAGTGTGGCAAAACCTATTGCAGGCAAGAGCTGCGCAACAGATGTTGTAAGACCTTAAGACCTAGTTTGGCAAGCCTGGTGCACGGCATGTTTGGATTGATGTCAGATGCTCAAAAAGTGCATGCGACTACAGCACCAGAATAAGTTGGACTACCTCGAAGGGTCTTTACGATCTTCAAAATGCATCCCTTGCGTAACCGCTGCGCGTGTGTGGTGTTGCGCTTGCATTTTCAACTTGGCTTTGGGGGACGTGGAGTTGTTGCACCACGGCTTCGTCAGGGCATTGGACTCGCTTCTCCTAGCTGACTGTTGTGTGCAAAAAGTCTGGGGCCTGCAACCGTGCGATACGGCGAAGCTTTCATAAAAGCCTGTTCAAGGAAGCGAATAGATGAAGCCGAGGGGCCTCTAAGAAATGCGTTGCGAGGAACTGCATTCGCCGCTGGCGGCTTCCTTTTCTTGAGAGGGCCACCATGCGACAGCCACGTGCACGTGCAGAAGGTGCGCAAAAGGTGTCGGGATGCTGTTTATGCCAGCGGAATTCTGACAATGCAGGCTGTTGCCGTTTAGCTGCCTTGCAGGGAGAACTCCAATTGCAGTCAGTCTTAGTCACATGGAGCAACCCTGCGCGCATCTGCGCGCCGCACATGGGATGAGTTGTTGCCGCTGGAGCAAGGCGAGACAACATGACGGCAATCCGCGCAAGTGACGGGAGGGAAGCAACAGTCAGCGTTTGCTGCATTTTGCTGCATTGCCTTGAGTCAACATCACCCGACTCGCTTAAAATGTGCGGCCTTGGCGGATTTGTCCGGCACAGATCGGTCTCTCGTGGTCAGCCCCTGCTGCGTTATCAAAGCGCCTTGAACGGGGAAATGCGATGAGAAGGAAATGGTGTAGCATTCCGCAGAATGTGCATCAGCCGGGGCGTTTTAGGTTCAGTAGGTTCGAGACCTGCTTCGTTCATATGGGCCGGCCGCGGCGTGAGCTTTCTAAGAGAACTTCGACTCATGGGGAGACTAGGCAAGTTTCAAGCTAGCCCGTTTAGCTACCGTTTTCTGTTGGTAGGGCCTGTTCGGTATATGTCGTGTGCTGCGCATCACGTTGCAGCAGGACGAGGGGACAGTAGCCTAGATCAGTCGAACTGGCATCAGGGACCCAGATTTGATGACATGGGGCTGTCGTCTCCTTTTAGCTGACAGTTGTGTGCAAAAGGACTCGGGCCTGCAACGCTGATTCGAGTGACATGTTCAGTCTCAACCCTGGCTTCGGCTAAGCATGCCTGCCCCCCTGCTTCCCCCAATGCTTGACAGATGCAGCTTCAGGCAAAGCTGGTGAAAAAGCTGCCATTACGCAGCCACGGGCAGAAAGTGCGCAAAAGGTGCTGGGATGCTATTTACGTCAATAGAATTCTGACAACGCAGGCTTTTGCCATGTAGTTGCCCGGCAGGGAGAACTCCAATTGCAGTCAGTCTTAGTCACGTGGAGCAACCCTGCGCGCGCCGCACATGAGATGCGTTGCCATTGAAGAGCCTAACTTGTTGCCAGAGTCCCCATCAGAAGTTGCAGCTGGAGACAGCAATCTGAGCAATGTGATGGGCGGGAAGCAGCAGTTAGCCCTTGTTTCAATGCCTTGACTCAACATCACCCGACTCGCTTCCGAACACGTGGGCTTGACGGATTTTTCGCTCACAGATCGTTTCCACTTGGTCAGCCCCCGTGTTGCATCATTTGCTCTTTGCGGCCCCCTGTGCAGATTTCACCCCCTGAACGGCTTTTCAGCTCGTGGCATACCGTTGAACAAATTTGTGCCGTCGCCTAGTTCCAAGGTTGGCCGGTATGAGTCAGCCCCGGCTGCGTTGTCAAAAGCACACACGTCAACTTGAGTGGGCAGTTCAAAGCGCCTCGATCGGGGAAGCCAGATGTTTAGAAATTGCATAACGTCCTGCAGGATGTGCACATGTTTAGCTGAAGTGTTTAAGATTCAGTCATTCCAGCATCATCCGAATGCTCGAGATCTGCTTCGCTCAGACTAGTGGTCGGTGGTGGCGTGAGTTGTCTAAGAGAACTTCGACATACCTGGAAAGCCCAGCGGTGCCCAATTTCTGCCGCTGATTGAAATTGCACTAATTCTTGCCGTTGCTGCGAAAAAAAACGCCTTTTGTCCCCAAAAACGCCGTTGGAGCAATTTGTGAATATTCTAAAATTCAGTCGGCCAGCTTCACCTTGCAAAAGTCATTTTCCCACAAAACGCCTGGAGGCAGAAATTCATGTTCCCAGACTAAAAGAGCAGTTTTAGTTCAAAAGGCGGAAATGTTACACACCTTGGGATTTCCAGGTATGCAGGCAGTTACGCGCATTACTTTCCAGAAGAGCTCTTGGACAAAATGGCATCAGCGCGCGCAACATTTGGAGTCAGCCCAGTCACATCTTTGCAAACAGTCAAGTTGCAAGCCGCGACTGGAACAGCAAGACGTTGATATGGCCCTGTACTGCTTTGCAGCAGGGCGGAAGGCAAAAAAAATCCAGCATCGCCGGGCATGAGGAGCACCTCTGTCTGTACTGCTCTCGCGTTAGTTGGTGCCACCTTGCTCCCTCCAAAGTTGCTGCTGCAGCATGCCACGCTCTGGCCCCTGCAAGTGGCAGTCTCGCGAACCCAATCCTCGACGATTTGCCAGGCATAATCTCCGGCAGCGGGGCGTTGCCGTGCTGCCACGGTTAGAAAGCCTAAGATATTTGCCACATGCGCACTACAAGCCTTGCGACTGCCACGGGCCTGACGGCTATGGGCAGCCCAAGCCTGGATGTGCATAGCGCTTCCCGGGCACTGGGCGGCATCTGACGTTAAATGCCGGGGCCCAAGAGGGGATGGAGAGTGGGAAGTGTTGTATCTATGCGAAGTTAAATGGCCCCTCGCATTGGACCAGTTATCTTTGAACGGCAGTGGATTGACAAGGGTGCATGGATCTCCATTTCAGACCAAATGGATCTCGTGGCTAGCAATGACTTTCCTGGAAGACATTCAGAGTCACGACTGGCGAGGTGTCTTCTAGCGCTAGCTGAAGACTCTTCTGTGCTGGAAAACGCCCACAAGGCCAGGACAGACTTGCTCGCGTTTTCGCATTTTGGCCTTCCGAGCATAATGTGCCAGGGTTCTGGGGGTTCTGGGCGCCGGGTGCAACTTGGGAGGCATTCTTCACGCGGCGCTGGCTTGGCCCTCAATGTGGCCGCAGGCGCTGCGCCCAATGCTTCCACCAGCAGAAGCGGCCTGGCTACCGGGGCAGTTACGCAAACCCAGAGACCCACACACAAAAAAGACGCACACGCACGCACGCTTGCACACACACACACAAAAACATGCACAAGCACAAACACACACACACACACAGACCCACAGACACAGACCCACAGACACAGACCCACAGACACAGAC